GATTAACTGAGTAATAACTGAAGTGGAAGGGTGTGGCTGGAGGAGGTCGGAATTGAAGCATGGCTTTGGTGTATATATTTGTATAAATTTATATCTGGCAAGTGGAGTCTCTGCTTCTTGATCACTATGTGAGCTGATTCCCTCTGCCACATTCTTCCACCATGATGTTTAGCCTCACCTGCTGCCCCGTGGAATGGAGCTGGCCTTCTATGGACTAATAAGACCTTGAGCTCTCTAGTAAACTTTTCCTCCTCTCTACAGTTATGCTGGTGGGGTCATTTAAACACAGCAGCAAAATGCTGATTAAAATACAACTTAATAGTCCTTTATTCAGGGAGGGGAATGTCTACACCATGGCTCTCTGGCAATTTACATGTGCCACAATGGACCAGGATTTAACACCAGCTGATATAAACCTTATAGTACACTGAGAGCACACAGCTGATTTTTGCTGTTTGTTTTTGCAGTATTGGGGATTGAGCCCAGGGCACTTCCCAACCTTTTTTATATTTTGAGACAGGTTCTTGCTAAGTTGCTGGAGCCAGCCTTAAACTTGCAATCTTCTGCCTCAGCCTTCCAAGTTGCTGGGATTATAGCCACTGCACCGGGTACATAGTTGGTTTTGTGAAGAGCTGCTATAACACCATTTCTTACTCAGCTCCCTATCATGAGGCTGTTAAGAGAGAGTTTTCTTTGATGAGGAATAAGACTTTCTACCTCTCCCTATTAAAGGTAAAACTGCAAACCATAAAACTGCTTATCTGCAGCATGACATGAGCCCCTTGGCAACAGAATATTCCAATGACTCTATATGATGCAATCATATGGCCTCTTTTGGTTCCTTCCTGCTGGAAAAGGGACACAAGGAGCTTGCACATTTTGTACTCTCACTTTCACTCTCTATAAAAATTTTAAAAACTTAAGAAATACTTCTTTTCTGACCAAATAAATAAGTCAGCCTTCCCTGAAAAATCTGATGCCAAACAATTGGATTGGTAAATGCCCTTTCGGAACAAAAACAGATGCAGTCATAATGGGACAAAATATGTAAGACTTCCTAGGATCTGGTAAGATATATTCTTAAGTTGGGGTGGGGAGAGGAATAAAAGTCTTTCCACAGTTATACCTATATTACATTTGCTATGTAACAGAAAATAGGCTCCCCAAGATCTAATAGCATATATTACTTATTGAATGTTTGGTTAAATTATTGAAGGTCGGATTAGATGGAAAGGCAAAGGACAGTTGCTTAGTGTCTGTGTTGTTTTTAAAAGTTTGTTGAGGCCAGGTGTGGTGATATATGCCTGTAATCCCAGCAACTCAGGAGGCTGAGGCAAGAGGATTGCAAGTTCAAAGCCAGCTTTGGCAATTTAGCAAGACCTTAAGCAACTTAGTGAGACCCTGTCTCAAGAATAAATAAATAAAAATAAAAAGGGACTGAGGGACTGGGATTGTGACTCAGTGGAGTGCTTGACTTTCATGTATGAGGCTCTAGGTTCGATCCTCAGCACCACATAAAAATAAATAAATAAATAAAGGTATTGTGTCCATCTACAACTAAAAAATATATATTTTTTAAAAAGGGTGGGAGGATTGAGGATGTGGTTCAGTGGTTAAGCGATCTTGGGTTCAGTCCCTGGTATCAAAATAAAAAACAAAGTTTTTTGAGGTTGAGTAGATGACTACTTAAAGCGGGATGGGGGGAAAAGCAAGTGCAAATCTCTGCCTGCTTGTGTGGAATCCATCCTTCCATGCCCTTTATTTCTCCTTGTACTATGTCACAACCTCAGTCACTTTTAAGGAAAAAAAGTCTGATGTTCCAGCCTACTCTGCAGGATGGACTCCTCCAACATACTCCATCACTTCATGAGTTGCCAAACACACAACCTGCTCTCCTGACAGTTGCTATCTTAATTTTTTAAGTGCTAGCATTAAAATTTGTGTTTTTGTAAGAACAAAAGTACAAATTCAGCCAATAAGAATTTGGGGGAGAGGTATAATTAAGATTAAAAGATTAAGGAACCTTGTGAGGGAGGGAGCATGGGAGGTAAAATGGGGCATGAATGATCTAGTGACTGACACAGTTGGCTTTCCATAAATGGGTATACTTCAGTCAGAAAATGTTCATTCATAACTTTTGCTCTTATCTAACTGGACTATTTGTTGTTTAGCAGTTGAGATTTGGTGAATTCTTTCTATATTCTAGATATACTTCTGTCAGATATATGGCTTGCAAATATTTTCCCCTATTTGCAGCTTGTTATTTTATTCTCTTAACAGGGTCCTTCACAGAGCAAATGTTTTAAATTTTGAAAAATCAAATTATTAAATTTTCATTTAGTTTCCTTTAGCTTTTGATGTCAGTTTTAAGGATATTTGTCTAGCCTTAGGTGCCAGCAATTTTTTTCTTCCTAAAGTTCTAGATTTAATATTTAGCTCATGATGCATTTGAGTTTTATTTTTCCATTTTTGTTCTGTGGGGTGTTTTGTTTGCTTATCTTTGTTTCTGGCTTATGGATGTCCAGCATCATTTTTTGAAAAAGCTATCTTCCACTGAATTCTTCCATTGAATTGTTTCTGCACCTTTGTTAAGGATCAGTTGGGTCAGGCATGTGGTGCCTGCCTGTAATCCCAGCAACTCAGGAGGCTGAGGTAAGAGAAGGCAAGTTGGAGCCAACTTGAGGTTGGTCTTGGGGATCTTTGATACAATACTTTAGGGAAAAAAAACATTTCTCTCTAAATGAGGAAAAACTAAAAGGGTGAAGGGGGGAAAGTGATTTTTTTTTAATCCATGGAAAAAAATCATAGCTTGCTTAATTGAGAACTGGCCATGGGACTTTTCTCCTTATTAGACCTCCAGTCTCAGTCAGCCTTTCCCTTCTCCCTTTCTCAGGTCTAGCCCACAATTTTTTTGTTTCCCAAAATCATCTCACCCCCCCTTTGAAGCCCTCATTATATAGGTTATACTGAGAGTGTGTCAATTTGAGTACTCAGGAATTTGGGTTTGGGGGTTGAGAGACAGTGACAAGCACCTGGAGAGGATTAATCTTGAAAGAGATGAAAACTATCAATGTATGCTTTTCTTTTTCACTCCCTTTTCCCAGGCCATGTATCTTGGGGTTTTTCATTTTCTGTATCTAATGTCATTTGCTTCCGAAGTGATTGACATTTATCTTGTTACTGGCTTTTGTTTCAGTCTATGTATTTGTGACTAGCTTTATAACTTTAGCAGGTAAAAACACACCGCTATAGTCCCAGCACTTTGTGTTCTTTATTTTGAGGCAGTTTTGCTCCATTGCCTAGGCTGGTCTCAAATTTGTGATTCTCCTGCCTCAGCCTCCTAGCTTTATAACTTTAGCAGGTAAAAAAACAGGTGATGTGTTCTTTGTAGCCCACTTTGTTTCCAAGCCCAATTGTTCTGTTTATAATAACTGGATTATCTTGATAAAGTCATTGGATCCCTAAAAGCTTCAGTTTACTTATCGTATCAATTATAACTGCTTAGTTTTAGAAGAAATAACCGAAGGCAATTAGAGTAGAACTTGGCAAATAATAAATAATACTTAGTCTAGGTTACTATAGCCCTCCTCTTGATTCTTTCAATATTGAGTACCTAGTATATGCTAGGGATCTGGTATATGGCCACTGACCCCAAAGAGCTTATAGTAACCCAACATCTAGGCTTCTTTCTCTACTGGGGATTGAATCCAGAGGTGCTTTACCACTAAGTTATATCCCCAATCTCTTTTTATTTTTTATTTTGACTCAGGGTATGGCTAAGTTGCTTCAGGTCTCAGGTCTCACTGGGTTGCTGAGGTTGGTCTTAAACTTTTGATACCCAGCTTTCTCACAACACCTAGCATCCAAGTTTATTTCTTAGGCATTATTACCAGAAGTTTTTTGTCATCTTAGAAGCAGATGATCACCAATTCATATTAGAGGGCTACTTTACTACATACCCAAATATGTGATTTATGATCACCAATTCATATTAGAGGGCTACTTTACAACATACCCAAATATGTGATTTAAAGCTGATTAAATTGTCAATATCTACTATAGTTGAATATATGCATGACCCAGCAATTCCATACCTGGTGGGTATGCATCAGAATATATATATGAATATTTATATGACTGCATTATTTGTCATAGTTCCAAAATAGAAGCTACCTAAATGCCCATTAATAGCAGTAATGGATTTGCTTTATCACTGTCCTTCAGGAATGTCCCAGAGTAGGGGTGTGTAAGGCTGCACCCATTCACTTTTGCACATTGTGGTATGCCATGCAAAGTCATCTGTAAATCAGACCCAAATTTTTGTTGGTTTTTTTCATCATCAGTAGTTGTAAAACTTCCTGAGTCCACAGGTTCAGGAAGATCAACAGGAAGTAATATAGTTAAAGAGTAGAAGGCCATGGACCTTTGGGCCACTTCCTCATGCAACTTATATTGTGTCTTAAGGTTCTGCTTATGCTTGATTTTTTTTTTCCCCCAGAGGAAAGGGGATTGGTACTGGAGATTGAATCCAGGGACGCTCTACATTCCCAGCCCTTTTATTTTTAATTTTGAAACACACACTTTTAAGTTATTGAGGCTGGGCTCAAACTTATGATCCTCCTCCCTCAGCCACCTGGGATTATAAACATGCACCACCATACCCATCTTCACACCTTGTTTTAGTCAGCTTTTTTGCCACTGTGACTAAAGGACCCAACCAGAACAATGGTAGAGGGCGGATTTGATTCATTTGGCCTTCAGGTAAAATATAAAGAAATGGTCACTGCTGAAGTTGAGTGCTGTTAGATGTCTAATTAAGTAAGGAAAGCAGATAAAGAGGCAGGTATTGGTAAGTATTCTCTATATGCCAGGCATTGTACTAGTTAGTTGCCTGTATTTATTTATAAGTTTTGGGATTGTAATCTGTTTACAATTGAGGAATTAGAGCTCAAACTAGTTTAGTGACATACTTAGTTTAGAAAAGAATAAATTATTGATTCATGCAACATGAATCACAAAATAACCATGTTAAATTAAAGAAGCAGATCCCCAAACCCCCCAAAAGAGAACATACTGTTGAGTCCATTCATAGAAAGTAAAAACTAAATTTATAGCAACGTAAGGCAGAGCAGAGATTGCATGGAGATGGGAATAGCAAGTAAGGTTGGGAGGAATTATCAAGGGAATGTGAGGAGAGATTTTTTTGGGTGCAGATACATTCATTATATTAACTGTGGTAGCTGTTTTACAGTTGTACACTTTAAAACTTATCAAACTGTATATTTGTATTTGTACAGTTCACTGTGTATCATTTTGCCTCAGTAAAGCTGTTTAAAAGTCACACATAGGCTGGACTGAAGCCCATGGAAGAGTGCTTGCCTAGAATTTGCAAGGCTCTGGGTCTGATCCCTAGAACTGCAAAGTAAATAAATAAATAATAAAATAAAAATAAGTCATACCAATTACATTGCAAATTCAGGCAAGTTAACTTGAAAATCTGAATGTAATGGGTAATTTCCTAGGCAAAGATTAACAAAATGGGCCCTCTTCCCTATATGCATATTATAAATACAAAGCCCAACCAGACCATTTTCTTGGGGGGAGGGGGGTGGATAAACAAACAGAAGAAATCACTATCCCTCAAAAAAGAACCCGGTCCAGAGGGTTTCTTATGGATTCCTTCATAAATTGTTCTAGAGCATTTAAAATGAACAAAAACTGAATTCTTTTTAAGATTCAAGTAAAAGAATGAAAGCTAAATCTTGAAAAAGTATTTAAAAAAGAAAATTATGGACCAATTTCACATGAATATTGAAGAAAATGTACATATATTTACAACTCATTAACACATTAAGAATTTATTCCAGAATTGCAAGATTATCTCAATATTAGTAAATCTTTTTATATAAAGTTAAGGGGGGAAATGTGATTTCCATATTAAAGACTAGAAAAACCTTTAACAGAAGGCAGGCCATTTTGCAAAATAGAGACTAACCAAAGCAAAACATTTAGAGATATGCAGCAGATACAAACCCAGGATTCTAGAATCATCACTGCAAAATTTTGCAATACATGCTTTCTATATTTAGTGATCTATAAAACATGTACATTTCATTGCTGGGTTTCTGTTCTCGTGACTAAAAGGCTCAGGGGTCACTCTAGTTAAACTGGGCTAACTGGACTGCACGAAATAACCA